CGAGAAATGTGAAAGAAATCAGAGTAAGAGTTTACATGCACTGAGAAATCTGATTAGTGAGCTAAAATCCAGCCTCTTTATCGGATTTCTTAATCGGATTTCTAGACCTTACCCAGATCTAAGAAATCAAAGTGTGCTGTTTACATGTCCATTTTACCATCTTGGCTGTAAATATGTCTCAGCATGTGCTGATGTACTAGTATAGGCTAATAGACTTACTTTGCTCTGCTTTAAGCCTTAGCTCAGCTATATCTGCTTTTCTCGCATCTCTGGCAGGATATTTTTCCAGAAAAGTAGAACAGTTTCTTGTAAAATGTTTCTCAACGTTTGACTTTTTACAAGGCTGAAGTCGCTTCTCCTTTGCCAGCTTCTTGTTCGAATTCTCCCGTTCCACCTTAAGTGGTGCCTGAGGCGCCAGAATGTAACTGCTGCACCATTTAAAGTGGAACAGCAAAATTCAAACGGGAAACTCAGCTTTCAGCTTTGTGACTTTTTAGTGTTTGGGTTTCTCGTTGCAGATTAAACATATCAGGAAACCAGCTGGAGTGAATATACATGCAAATAAGTCAATTCGTCTGCAAATTATTGATGTCCGTCTTAAATCTTTCTCTTTTTGGTTAGCTACTAGCTGGGCGAGCTTGTTGTCTGTGTTGCTATGGTGACCAGCAGCCTGCACGCCAACCTTCAGGGTCAAAAGTTGGTGAATTAGCAGTTCTACATTAACTCCAGCGTTTAAGACCATTTATTGTTAAAACTGTGTTGAACGATCAGCAGAGCTTTATTTTACTGTAAAGGAGGATTATTTTATTTTTACCTACAAATCTAATTCTGCTGTGGAGCCACAACAGGGCAGTAAAAGAGCCGCATGTGGCTCCGGAGCCCACGCTGCCGACCCCTGGACTTGCCACACTGAGCTATTTCAGACTTCACATTCTTATCTGCAGCATGTTAGAAAAGTTAGCAAAGTAAATTAATATACAATATACAGTATACATTAGAAACCTTAAGACACCTTAACAGTAGCCACGTTTACATGCAGCCTGATAATCCGCTAATAATCCAACTAATAGCTCAATCAGAATAGAACACGTCCATGTAAACACCTCAATCGGAATAGTCTAGTCCGATTGAGGCCATTCGGAATACAATTTCTATCCGATTGAACGAGATGTGTAAACCTCTAAATAATCCATTAAATAGAAGAATAATAGCCATGTAAACGCCTGAATCCGACTATGTGCGTCGCGTCATGGCAAAAGTTTATACCGTTCAACATGGCGGAGCAGAAACTGGTCTGCAGAGGAGACGAAGTTTATGCTCTGATCTTTAACAGGCGGCGGTGGGACGGACGTCCAGCTTATGAGTCTCAGAACACGACGTCTTCCTCTCGCCGCTTCCTTTATAAATACATGGAAAGCACGTTTTCCTGAGTCTGACCTCATTTTAAAGCAATTAAAACACAAGCGCGTCAACTGGAAACTCATCTCACGCAGACTGGACCTCACGTGATGTTCGCTGTCATGGTAACGTTTACTCTAAGCGCTACTCCACGCATGCGCGTCATTTTGCATGGATTACTTGTAGTGAGCATGTAAACGAAGATTTTCCATCAGATTGTTGAGTAGAATGTGCATATAAACACCTCAGTCTGAATCTGTAATTGGATTGCATTTAATCGGATTGGCAAAAATCTTTGCATGTAAACACAGCTACTGACTTTAGTATCAGACGCTAGGCTAAACATGGAGATGTTAGACCATGGAATAAACACTTGTATTGCATAAATTTTTTTTTCAGTGTCAGCTTTTAACATTTGCAGTCCTGCGTGTGACAAACTGACCCTGTGAGAATCTTTGGTCAGTTTTTGACAGAGTCAGCGACTGACAGCATCGACTAGCTTCGTTACACCACAAGAATTTATAGACGGTAATTTGCTCTGGAATTAATACATAAAAACTATGGACAATGCTGACTCATACTGGATTAAAATCACAGATCTTGTCGGTAATCATTCAAGTTACAGCACCACCCCAAATAAAACTAATCCACCTCCAAACAGGGCGGTTAATGCTGAGCTAACAGTTCAGTGTTGAAGAGCTCTTCTCCAGCTGCACTAATTGGCAGTACTTTGTTCATTTGCTATGTATTTTGTTCCTGCTGTTAGCTCAGCGTACGTTTGGACCACACAAAGCCTCTCAAGACCTCTCAAGAACACAAAAGGCTTCTAGCTTCTGAATGAGCCTGCAGGCTTATTTCAGGTTTGGAGACGAAACATACGCTACTTCCATTATCTCCATCGTGCTCAATTCAGTCACTCAGCCAGTGAGACGGGCTATGTTTATCTTCTAAACTGACATTTCCCCACAGTTTCTAATGTTCTGCCACAGCATGCATCCAAAGTACCTTAGAGACCTTTGACTATTTAGCTTAGCTCGTCTTTCTTAGGAGAGGAAGCCAAACAAGGACCGATGTGAATTGTGTGGTAATCCAATAGCTATAATATTTGTCTGCCAACTTTACTTATTATTCATGAAAACAGGAAAAGTCAACCTCAGAAGCTACCCATGTGGAGTCGAGACCCACTTCAGAAAATCAGGAGTCGTACAGCGCCGATATTGTCGAGGCTACACTGAGAAGTATCTTTTCTACTCTTCAGCTTTCATGGTTAGCCTAGCCAAGCAAGTCACTTCAGACTTCTCAGTCATGTCTGCAGCACGTTAGCGACGTAAAATCATATATATATATATATATATATATATATATATATATATATATATATATATATATATATATATGCTTTTATTACATCATTACTGTTGTTATTATTGTGCCTTCCGCCCAATGACAGCTGGGATAGGCTCCAGCTCCCCCAGCGACCCAGAAAGATAAGCGGTTAATAAAGTATGTGTGTGTTATATTATTATTATTATTATTATTATTATTATTATTATATTTACATATTTTGTGCAGCAGGTATGCATTTTAATATCAAAGTATGCTGACACAATTTGTCATTCTAAACTATGCAAAAAGCTAGTAATCCTTTTGAGTTTGGTTCTGCATGTGCAGTACTCAAGTATACCAGCAAGAAGCAGCAGCATCTAGCCTTCTAAAAACAAAAGAAGAAGAAAAGTTCAACCAATCAAAACACTGGGTTCATTCCCCAGGGATAGCAAATGCTTAATGTAATTAATTTCAAGAGACCGCAAATCGACAGCAACACAATGTTTTTTATCCCGCTTGTTTTTTATCCCCTCCTCACTCTGTCTGCCTGGTTTCACAAGGGAAAGACGGTGCTTTTAACCCCTTTGCTAAAGTAAATGAGCTGAAATGGATGTGGAAAGTTGAAATTGTGAACTGAGTTAATGTAACACAGATATAATTAATATATAAGAAATATTGTTAGCCTAATATAGTGCAATTTGCAAGCTAGCTTGCTTGTTTACATCATTTAAGATGGCAAAGTAATGCTGTAATATTGACAGTGTGTTGCAGATTGTTAAACATGACTTTTCACAGTACTGGTTGGGAGGTGTGTGTGTGTCTTACTGTCATCGGATGAGAAGGACACTGACAGGGGGAGAGTAGGGAAAGAGAGAAAGCAGCAGACCCTGTTGAATAACCATATATATATATATATATATATATATATATATATATATATATATGCAGTCTACAGTAGTAAGAAACTTTTCAAGACCTCTCAAGAACACAGTGGGCTTCTAGCCTTTGAATGAAACATGCAGTTCAGTGGCTCAGTCACTCAGCCAGTGAGACGGGCTATGCTTATCTTATAAACTGACATTTTCCCCACACAGTTTCTAACGTTCTGCAACAGCATGCATCCAAAGTACCTTAGAGACCTTTCACTATTTAGCTTAGCTCATCTCTCTTAGGAGAAGAAGCCAAACAGGGACAGATGTGAATTGTGTGGTAATCCAATGACTGTGATATCTGTCTGCTTATTATTCATGAAAACAGGAAAATTCAACCTCAGAAGCCAAAGCACAAGTGATTCCAAGTTGTGCAAACGAACATTTTCCAACCATACAATATATGGCCAAAAGTATGTGGACACCTGACCATCACACCTATATGAGCTTGTTGGGCATCCCATTCCAAAACCATGGGCTTTAATATGGAGTTGGCCACTCTTCTGGAAAGCTTTCTGCAAGATTTGGGAGTAGTGTCTGGGAATTTGTGCTCATTCAGTCAAAAGAGCATTTGTGAGGTCAGACACTGATGTCAGACGAGAGGGCCTGGCTCACGATCGCAATCGACCAATTCGCCCCAAAGGTATGCAGTGGAGTTGAGGTCAGGGCTCTGTGCAGGCCACTGGAGTTCCTCCACACCAAACTCATCACATCATGTCTTGATGGACCTCGCTTTCTGCACAGGGGCTCAGTCATGCTAGAAGTTGGAAGCATATAAACACAATTATCTAAAATATCTTTGTATGCTGTAGCATTAAGTCCTTAAAATTCTTGGCTTTTTACTTACTAAGGCTTATTCTTCAGTAACTACAGGGACTTCAATGCAAACTCGTTGAGCTATTCTTAGGTTATAGAAGTGTGTAATAAAACTTTGGGCCATCAGGGCTTTGAGTCCAAGCAGGGCTTCAAACCACTTCACTAACTTCACGTTGCTGCGAAACATTACCAAGAAATATGCACAACACTTTATCAGTTTTCAGACACTGAAAAGATCAGGCTAAGAAGACGTATTACGGACTTCCAAGAGTTTATTTCACACTCTGTTGAAAGATGGTAAGGATGCTCCATATGGACATAGATGCAGTACCATCGATATCTCCTTTATACTGTTAAATTTGTCGAAGATTATATTCAAGCATGTAATCCTCTCAGAGAGGGGAGGATAGCCAAGCCAGCGATCCAGCAATCATTGTTGTTATGGGTGCCCACTGGGCTGCCTGCCGTCTGCAAGCTATTTGTGGCTTTTGTGAACCTATAAATGGAAGCCTGTGGCTCTCTGTACTTATCTGTGCTGCTACAGGCTCCAGCTCATTTGAAGAAGTCGAGAGCAGAGGGCAAAGGAATGCGCAGTACAGCACTCGATGTCCAAACAAACTTTCACCACAAGCAACAGCATGGCCTTGGAGCAGCCACGCGGGGCCTTGGGAAAGGTGAGTGGTCACAGAGAGCGCTGACATTTTGGAAAGCAGCACTGGACCAAATATCAGAGGAATCAGTTTGAAGAGTCAGATTTACTTCTTTCTGCTGTTTATTTGTTGCTTGTGACCTAAAACCAGTTGTTGTTGTTCTATAGATCAAACTGTTTCCTTTGTAATTAAAACAAACGAGGCTTGCTGACACTTCACACATTTCAATTTGTTTTTATTTTCAGTTTATATGCATTTTAATGTCCCTTTTCATGTAGATTGGATCAGTTGAATAGGCAAAACAAGTGGCTCATGTCTTGTTAAGTTTGAACATGATGACAACATGGAATGAGCTTATGACTGTGCAAAAGGTGACCATGCTTTAAACATATTTCATGCTTTTATTAATGAGTCAACATCACCATCCAGGCACATCAAAATAGCCCCAAAATGTAACTTATCATGTCTTGTTGTCATTATCTTGAGATCTAATGCTTGTACAGACCTCAGGGTTTGCAAAGTCAGTGAAATATATTGTAGTTTAATGCTTTGGCTTTTAGTGTCTGTGTCTTAAGGCTCCTAATATCACTCAAGTTTGGATACTTTTGAGTTAAGGACTCAAGTTAAGGACCCCATAATAACAGAATTAGCCTTCTTTAGTGATTTAGAAAGGGAGCAAACATGTTTGTCTTTATCCCTGCCAAATTTTATGTTTCTGAGAATTATATTTATATAGATATTAATGTTTTCAGGAGGGTGTAGAAATGTGATAATGTTAGAAATCAGCTGAAATAAACTGCTGACGTTTTAGGTCAGATGCAACAAATAAAAAAAGAATGAACAAAATCTGAGACATGCAGCAACAACCCTATCTGAATCTCTGTGTTGTTTATCTAAGGAAAACTGTATGGATCCGTTTCAGGTCATGTTGGCTGAAGCTGTGTTGGACTGTCTCTTGGACAGTAGCTTATGGAAGACTGATCCTCAATGTTAAACTAGCAACTGACCCAAACTGGCTTTATTCATCTTGGCACATCAAAATGTTCAAAAAATTGTACCTTTTCATGTCTTATTGTCATCATCTTATGATCTGTTGGTTGTATAGACCTCAGGTTTTGATGCAAAGTCAGTGAAATGTTTTGTAGTTTAATGCTGTGGCTTTTGGCATCTGTCTTTATAGGCTGTTAATATGACTCAAGTTTGGACATTTTTGAGTTTTTCCCAAGTTAAGGACCCCTTACGTACAAAATTAGCCTTCTGTAGTGATTTAGACAGAGAGAAAACATGTTTGTCTTTATCTCTGCCAAATTTTATGTGGCGGGAGGTTCTATTTCTATAGATATTAAAGTTTTCAGGAGAGTGAACAAATGTGATAATGTTAGAATTCAGCTGAAATACTCTGTTGACTTTAGTTTTAGGTCAAATTCTGAGACAACAACCCTATCTGAATCTCTGTGTTGTTTATCTAAAGAAAACTCTATGGATCAGTTTCAGGTCATGTTGGCTGAAGCTGTGTTGGACTGTCTCTTGGACAGTAGCTTATGGAAGACTGGCTTTATTCACTTGGGCGCATCAAAATTTTCAAAAATGTAACCTTACAATGACTTATTGTCATTATCTTAAGATCAATTGATTGTACAGACCTCAGGTTTTGATGCAAAGTTAATGAAATGTTTAGTAGTTTAGGGTATCAACTGTGGCTTTTGGCATCGGTGCCCATTGCAGTGGTGTCTATAAGCTCCTAATATCACTCAAGTTTGGACATTTTTGAGGGTTTCTCAAATTAAGGACCCCATAAGAACAAGATTAGCCTTCTGTGGTGATTTAGACAGAGAGAAAACATGTTTTTTCTTATCTCTGGCAAATTTAATGTGGCTGCCAATTTTATTTCTATAGATATTAAACCTGAAACATGACTTCAGGGATGAGATGTTTTGTAATTAGTAAGTATTAAAGTTTTCAGGAGGGAGAACAAATGTGAAAATGTTAGAATTCAGTTATAATAATCTGCTGACTTTAGTTTTAGGTCACATGCAACAAATAAAAAAAAGAATGAACAAAATCTGAGACATGCAGCAGCAACCCTATCTGAATCTCTGTGGTTTATCTGAAGCAAGCTGTATGGATAAGTTTCAGGTCAACATATTGGCTGAAGCTGTGTTGGACTGTCTCTTGGACAGTAGCTTATGGAAGCCTGATCTTCAGTGTTAAACTAGCAACTGACCCATTCTGACTTTACTCATCTGGGCACATCGAAATATCCAAACATGTAATGTTATCTGTCTTATTGTCATTATCTTAAGATCTATTGGTTGTACAGACCTCAGGTTTTGATGCAAAGTCAATGAAATATATTGTAGTTTAATGCATGTACTGTGGGTTTTAGCATATGTGTCTATGGCAGTGGTGTCTGGAAGCTCCTAATATGACTCAAGTTTGGACATTTTTGAGTTTTTCTCATGTTAAGAACAAAATTAGCCTTCTGTGGTGATTTAGACAGAGAGAAAACATGTTTGTCTTTATCTCTACCAAATTTCATGTGGCTGGGAATTCTATTTCTATAGATATTAAACCTGAAACATGACTTCACAGATAAGATGCTTTGTAATTAGCAAATATTTAAGTTTCCAGGAGGGTATTCAAATATGATAGTGTTAGAATTGAGCCGTAATACTCTGCTGACTTTCGTTTCAGGTCACAAAAAACGAACAAAATCTGAGATATGCAGCAACAACCTTATCTGACATAGAATGACTTTATGTTGTTTATCTAAAGAAAACTGTGTGGGCCGGTTTCAGGTCGACGTCAGGTCAACTGACCCATACTAAACTTAAAATACGTGCCAAAGTTTAGAAATAGGGTTGAACTTACCACACAAAACACAATTCATCTTCCTTGTATTAGATACAGCAACCTAAAGAACAAAGCTTAGAGTACAGAACCTTTTTAATCAGCTTTTATAGGAACAATGGGCGTGTCAGATGTTCGATGTTCTAACATTGTTCCCAAGGCCAAACATTATTATGGTCAGTATATTCAGAATATTATTTCTAATTCTCTAAATGTCAGTAGCTTCATTATAGCTGTCCGAGGTGTGTAATGCATGTAGTAAGCTAAACTTTGCCTAAGAGGTTTTACACTGGTGCACCATGGTTCTATGAAATTAGCAATACTTACTCCTCTTCATAATTATCCTCTGTGTGCATATTCTTATAAATTAGGTTGTAAATTTTGAGAGTGGTGAGTTTATTAACAAATTGACAATGGCAAACTAGACAAGATAATCACAGTATATGCTGTGACAATGTAGTGCTGTGAATTGTTGTTTTCTTCACCATGCAGTGAACACAAGATGATTAGGGAGTACCTTTATAGGTATGATTTATAGGTATAGCATATTTATAGCACATACATACTATAAATACAGTTTGTTTATAATTTGCATCTTTGTGATAAATCTTGTTTCTTGTTATGTATATACAGTACTGTGCAAAAGTCAGAGACCACCCTTCATTTATTACATTTTCAGTCAAAACAGCCTTAAAGTACAAGTTATTCATTTTTTCAGGAGATATTTCTGAAGATATTAGATTTAAGATAATCCACTTGCAAAAGGAAGAAGGTTAAAGTGAAAATAAGTGAAAAACATTTAAAAACTGGAACTGAGATGCGCAGATGTCAACATCACTGAATGTGTTGAGACGCAGAAAATGCAACCAACTTCTAAGACTGAACTTTGGAGGTGTGTCTGGAGATTCTTTGAGAAACTGAAAGTGAGTCTCCTGAAAAGAATGGAAGCTGGAATAAAAGTTAAAAGTGGACACACTAAATATTGAAAGATTAGACATCGCATCGTATGTGTTCTGGTTTTTTTCCTGACGCTGGAAATTAATAACCTGAACTTAATGGCCATTTTGACTGGACATTAAATAAATGAAGAGCACTTTGTTTGTGTATGTGTCTTGTGTGGGCTATATGTATGTGTGTGTGTGTGTGTGTGTGTTTTATATATATATAAAATAAATGATCCACAATTACTTGGAAAAACGTCTGGTTCCATTGGCTTACATTAAAAGTAAAGTATGTTTGTTTCCCTCTCTCTCTTTATATATATATATATATATATATATATATATATATATATATATATATATATATATATATATGAAAAGTATATATGGACTTTAAAACATGCATAATTGAAATATTAAGAGATATTAATTGTCATACATCTATCTACAAACTGATGGCTCGTTGGATCAGAACGTGAATTAAGAGAGCCATATAAAAATAGGACAGTACACAAGTAAAGGCGATCTATCAAAATATGAAGTATATAAAGTGTAGAAGCTCACGGTCACAGTGTTATTCACACATAGCAAATGAACAGAAGCTGTTATTTTTCATATGAGCAGCTCCGCTAGGAATGGCTTCATCCTACTTTTCTCTTTCCTTTAGAAGAACTACTACATCCATGCCTGAGGCTAAATAAGACTTTTTAAACCCTCAGAGTGTGGAAAGTGGTCATTTGAGATAACAGACCTGTCTGTCAGCTGTGCAGCATCAAAAAGCACTGCAGATCATTAACTATCATTAGTGTTTTTCTACCCATCAATCAGTTACCGCACAGCCATAGATGCGAGAGTCATTCATGGTCAGGAAACTCTATGAATGATCGCTAGAGACATTGAAGAGGCCGATAAGCCAGAAATGTTAACTTTTATATGAGTGAAAGGGAAACAGCGGGGAATGGTGTTCTAGCAGGAACTGGATTTTGGGCCCTGGTAGCTTTTAGCACCGTTAGTGTTTTCCAACTTATGGATTGTGCACACAAATAAGGGAACTCTTCAACCTATAAACAGCACTTTTCCAGGTAAACAGGCGTTATTCAATAGTTTTTTTCCCTCCTTAAAGTTAACACAGTGGAAGGTGCTGGATGTTCCAAACTAGTGCTTTAAAAATTGCCTTCAGTTATTATCGGACGTGCTTTCCCCACTGACAGAGGAAACTTAGCAGCTAATTTC